GTGGTGTCATCTCCTTTTGGAAGTTTCTAAACTCAGTACCAGGAAGTAGAAAGTCACAAAACCAATCTCTCCCTGCCCCACAGGAGCCTCTTGAGAGTGAGCAAACATGCCTAATGCTTGGGAGAAATGGGAAAGTTTTCTAAGTCATTCTTGCATGTTCTAGTTCCTTTCTTAATCTAGGGTATGGATATGAGGGAGTGTTCGGCTTGGCTCCTTCCTTGAGTTCAGTCTCCCCAGGCACCCCCAGATCCTCTGCCATTCATTGAGTCACATTCCCCTCAGTCTGTAGGACATAATGGGAGTAGGGGGACAGGTCAGGAGATCCCACTTCTCTTTGCCTTCTCTTTTTCTTCTTTAAGTAGCAACATGGAGTTTGAACCTGGAAACCAATAGTGGGCATAGTCTGTTTTTTCCTGTGAGACTGGGTTCTTTTCACTAACATACATTATCAGTGCCTGACAAACCCAGCCCTTGGAAGGGAATTTAGGTCAAAAGACTGACTCTTTTTATATTGGGCCCTCGGCCCCTGGAAACTATTTAATCATTTTCTGCCAGGCATGGTGCCATATGCCAGGAATCTCAGCACTTGGGAGGTTGAGGCAGGACGGTCATCACTAGTTTGAGGTCAGCTTGATCTACATAGTGATACTTTGTCTCAAAAAAACAAACCAAAAAAGCAGTATTTAATCATTTTCTATTTCTTTTTGAGCCTGGGAACCATATTCCTAAACTTCCAGCATCCCCATTAAAGGACTCTCCAGATATCTGGAGAAATGCTGCAATGGGAATTCCAATTTTCCCCTTATTAGATTCCCTAGGCCTAGAATTTTTCTTTACCATTTTTGACTGGTCCTCTTGTCTGAGATTCCCTATGCACTCAACACCCCCTACTGGAGGTTTCTTGCACACTCCGAGAATCTGTCTGGCCATTTCCCTCCCCAGAAAATGGAACATTGGATCAGGACTGCATCCTCATTTTTATGTCTTCCGTGCTTAGTCTCTGAAAGTACTCGACCACCAAGGATGTGCTCATACTCCAGTTTTCCGGCCTTGTATGCATGAGGATGCCTGGTTGCCACAGTGCCTGCCTTCATTGTATACTTTTATCTTTGCTCTTATCCTCTTTTTCTTGTTATTCCACTCAAGCTTGCTCTGCAGAGTGTTTTTATTCCACTCTTCATTTTTATTTGCTAAAATAAACTTTGCCATTCTTTCTTGCTCAATTTCATTCAATTCTTTGATGAGAAGAATCTGAATTTCAATTTTGGAAGGAGAGGTGAACAACCCCAAACCCTGTAATGTTCAGTTGGTTGAGCTACTTTTTAGAAGCAAGCTGCCCATAACGGTTTGTCACTTCTGCAGGCCATTGGGCAAGTTTAGTAATTTTTTTTAAACTCTGCCTTAAAAATGGATCTCATTCAACTGCCTGGCAAGTGCAAGGTCCTGAGTTCGATTTCTGGTACCAAAAAAAAAAAAAAAGGACCAGATTAAGATTCCATTTCTAGGGGCCAGAGGTTTAGCTCAGTGGCAGAAACATCTGCCTACCAAGTGCAAGGTCATGGGTTCGATCCTCAGTACAAAAGAAAAAGAAAAAGATTCCATTTCTCACACCCCTGATTACAAGAAAAGCAGACGCTCCAAGGCAGATCATCCCTGGACAGATATGAGGTTGTCATTTCTCCTCATCCCAGGAGGAGTAATGGCCTGGTGAGATCTGGATCACCTCCTTCAGGACACAAGAACTTCTCCAGAAGTGCGTCACAGATCAAGTCCTGAGACAATGACCAAGTAGAGCACAATTTGCTCAGGATTACCTTCTACCAGCTCCGCAAATCAGCTGTGCAAACTGCCAATCCTTGTTTTTCTCTGTTTCTGTAAAACCTCCACATTTTTGTCAGTCTGTCAAAACAGATCTTTCTCTCTCTCTCTCTCTCTCTCTCTCTCTCTCTCTCTCTTTCTCTCTCTTTCTTTGAAATAGAATCTCACTATGTAGTTCAGGCTGGCCTTGAACTCACTGTATAGCCTATGTTCGTGAGGGGCTGGGGATTTAGCTCAGCGGCATAAGCGCCTGCCTTGCAAGCAGGCAGTCGTGAGTTCGATCCCTGGTACCGATAAAAACAAAAAAGACCAAAAAAAAAATTTATGGTGATCCTCCTGTCTCAGTCTCCCAAATGCTGGGATTATAGGCATGTGCCACCACACCTGGCCAAAGACAGATCTCAAAGCTCTTTCTCTGTCCTTCCTGGCATGGCCACACTGCTTATAGCTCTTCTGCTGTCTACCACTGCTCTCTCCTTGATTGATATTTTGGGACAAGTGGCTGAGCTTCATCTGTACAGATCCCAGAATCCTGCATGTTCACCCTAAAACTCCAAAAAAGTCTCTCCATTATGAATTTGCAAAAGTCTTTCCAATAGAATTCCATTGTTTCCTTCATTAAAAAGACATTGCTTAAGACATACCTGCAGTGCTCTCCTTACTTGGCTTTTCTTTACCCTTATCTCTTGGTTGTGCTTTGTTTTATGCTTATCAAGAATGGAGCCCAGTGTGTTCAGCTACACAGGTGCCACTGTCTTGGTCCCGCATCAAGCTGTTGGCCAATCAAGTGGACTCTGAGATCCAAACCTTGCTCTGTTGTTGATCCTATGGCTTTGGGCAGTTAACCTCATTCAAGCCAGTTTCTCCTCTTTTTTTGGTACTGGAGATCAAACTTACAACCTCACGCTTTCTAGGAAGACACTTCAGTTCCTCCTCCTTAAGAAGGACAAATGAAGCTGGTGTGGTGGCTCACACCTGTAATCCCAGCACTCGGGAGGCTGAGGCAGGAGGATCATTGCCTGTAATCCCAGCACTAAGGAGGCTGAGGCAGGAGGATTGTTGCCTGTAATCCCAGCACTAAGGAGGCCGAGGCAGGAGGATTGTTGCTGCCTCCCGAGTGCTGGGATTACAGGTGTCAGCTACCACACCCAGCTTACACACTATTTTTTGACCACTGAATGGTGTGGACCCCACTGAAGTCTCTTCCCCTCCTGTGACTTCCCTCATTGGACTTCATTGTCTAGTCTCCCATCTTGTCACCTGGCATGCCAGGCCCACAGCAAAGGGCTTAAGGCTGTGGCCAGCCCAGTGGGCAGCATGATATAATGCACTGACACCTCCAGCTCAGCAAGATGGTTCCCCCTGCCTGCACTGGGCTGCAGCCCAGGACTGAGAAGAGCAGTGCACACTGCACCCCAGTGACAGGCGGGGAGAAAATGGAGACAGCAAGGAGGTAACTCCACTTTGTCATCTCTAAAGTCAGACTGCTGCCAGGTTTGGGGGTGCTGGAATTTCCTTTTGAAGGTGGTTCCTAGGTTTCTTTTGTTATGAGCCAAGAATTGGTCAAAACAAGCACAGACAGTAGCAAAGTTTTATCAAAGGTAGCAGTAGAAACAGGTTCTGCAGTTCGAGTTTGGGCCAAATAAAAGTAGGAAAAGAAGCACATGCTACGGCGTGAGGGGGGCCAGCACACCAGAGAGCACAGAGTGGCAAAAATTCAATGTGGTTGGTCAGGCTGAGGTCCGATCTCTACCATCCTAGGAAAACCTGCTCAAGTTCTCACAGGAAGTCCACATGCAGGCTTTAGGAACTGTTCTGTGCATGTATCCCAGGAACTTTTTTGTTTTATTAGTACATGTTTGCCATGCATAGTGATCATGTTTGCCATAGGAGATTTTACAGATTCATAGTATACAGTAACTCCCTGAGTTATGAACATTTCAGTTGTAAACTTCCATATGAGTACTGTGTAAGACACTTTGTCAGCTTATAAACCAATCCAATTTATGAACAATTCTCCTGGAATGGAACTTGTTCACAAGTTGAGGACTTACCATTTTGCTGTTGTTTTGTTTTGTTTTTTTTGTCTTTTTCCTTTTTATTGGTACCAGGGATAGAACTCACGACTGCCTGCTTGCTAGGGAGGTGCTTATGCTGCTGAGCTAAGCCCCCAGCCCCTTTGCTGTTGTTTTTTTAAGACAGGGTCTTGCTATGTATTCCAAGCTGGCCTTGAACTCACTGTGTAACTCAGGCTAGCCTCAAACTCACAGCGATCCTTCTGCTTCAGCTTCCTAAGTATGGGGATTATAGCCACCATGTGTGGCTAATTTCAGTTTTGTTTTGTTTTGTTGGTACTGGGGATTGAACTCACGACCATAGTTTCAGTTTTTTGAGGAATCTCCACACTGACTTCCACAGTGATTGCATCAATCTATACTTCTACCAACAGTGGGGAAGGATTCCTTTTCCCCACAGCACAACCAGCATTTGTTATTGGTTTATTTTTTGATGATAACCATTCTTTCTGGAGATGGAATCCCAGTGTTGTCATAATTTGCAATTCATGAATGGCCAATGATATTAAACATTTTTCATATATTTATTTGCTGTTTATACTTCATCTGAGAGTCTATTAATTTCAGATGCTTGTTTTGGGTTGAATCTTTACATTTAGGGGGTCTGATTTTTTGTGTTTTTTTTTTTTTTTTTTTTCTCTTTTTGAGACAGGGTCTCTCTATGCAGTTCAGGCTGGCCTTGAGCTCACTTTGTAGCCTGGGCTGGTCTCGAACTTGCAATGATCCTCCTGCCTCAGACTCCCAAGCCCTGGGATTACAGGCGTGAGCCACCACACCCGGCTTGTGTTCTTTATATATTCTAGATATTAGTACTCTGTCTGAGGAGTAGCCAGTAAAATTTTTTTCCAATTCTCTGGATTGTCTTGTCACTCTGTTGGTGATTTTTTTTCTCTGTGTGGGATTTTGTAACTAACTGGCCATACCTATTTCCCCAGCCAGTTTTGTTACATCCTAACTTCCTTCTTGAGTCAAGGGTAGGATACCAGTCCTGAGCCTTTTGGAGTGCATAGAGCCAGCCCGCCCTCCCCTAGGAATCATCATCACAGTGGCAAAAATAGTAGTTTTTATGACTATGTAACAAATTGCCATAAAGGTAGCAGCCTAAAACAATATAAATTTATTAAGTTACAGGTCTATAGGTCAGCAGACTGGATGGCATTGCTGGGTTTGCCTGCCCAGGTTTTTGTCAGGCTGAAGTCAAGAAATTGGCCAAGCAAAGGTCTTTTCTGGAGGTGAGGGAAGAATTCGCTTTTCATCTCCTTCAGGGTGTTGGCAGAACTTGGCTCCCGTTGGTTATAGGGCTGAGGTTTCTGTCCCTTCCTAGCTATCAGCTACAGGATCCTGCTCACAGTTTCTGGCCCCTCCACCTTCAAAGCCAGCCATAGAGAAGCTTCCTGGTATTCAATGCCTCTCATAGCTTGAATCTGTTTAACTTCCTCCAGAAAATATTGGGCACACAAGCCAGACAGGGTACCAGCTAGTTTGCCCACCTCTGGATACCCCATCCTCATCTCGAGCCAGAGCTGAGGAGGGCAAATATACATGAGAAGGGGAGGAGCCCCTGGGGCACATGGGATATCTTCAGGTTTTGTGAGCCCCATGAAGGAGAGGGTAGGGAGGCGATGAGATGGGTAGGGAGAGTTTCAAGTCTGAAGAACTAGGATGTGAGCAGGACCCCAGATATACCAGGAGGCTGAGGGACCCAGTTCATGGCTCCAGGTCAACATCACTAAAGAAACCAGCATCAGAGGCTGAGGTGAGCCCGAATCCAGGGGCTGTACTTGGCCACGTTGGTATAGACACCTGGACGGTTGGGCAGGGCACAGCCCTTGCCCCAGCTCACCACACCCACCAGGACCCAACGCCCAGACTGCATGCAGGTCAGAGGCCCCCCAGAGTCACCCTGTGGGAGAAAGGCAAGCTTAGGTCCCAGCTCTTCCAGGTCCTGTCCTCTGGGCTGATGTCTGTGGGTTGGGGGCTGGGACACCTGCCTGGAGATGGTGTCTCCTAGGTCCTGGACTCTAGGGAAGTAGGGTGCTGGACATAGGGATGTGAACCCTCGAGGCTGGGGTGGGGTGGGACCTACCTGGCAAGCGTCCTTGTGGCCTTCAAGGTAGCCAGCGCACAGGTTCTCTGGCAGTACTATACGTTCTGTCTTGGGCACATCAGTGTCCATGTGGTAGAGGCGGTCACAGGTGCGTGAATCCAGCAGTGGTACCCTCACTCCTTGAAGAGGTCGCCACTCTGGGAGTGGCACTGGGAGAAGAGGAGCCAGGACAGAGGGAAGCATGGAGCAAAGCTCAGAGGGAGAAGCTGAGCTTAAGCTCAACTTGCCAGGCTGGGAGTCTGCCTGGGAGGAGGTTAGGGTCTTTAGAAGTGGCTCTGGATCCTGGATTGCAGCTGTAAGGGGCCAGGATTCCCAGCCCCAAGGAGAAGGAGGGCTTCCCAGGGCCCCCATTCCCTGGCCTCTAAGTTTTACCTCCTGGGCGGAGGCTGCCCCAGCCAGTGACCCAACACGATGAGCCAGCGTGGGGGCGGGACCTGGACCTGGGCAGACAGACAGGCTGCACTCGGGCGCTCAAGGTCACTGGATGGCGCAGCTGCAGCAAGGCCAGGTCGCCTCTGGCTGCATCCTCTGAATAGTCCGGGGACAGCAGCACCCGCCACACAGGCACCAAGAGTCCGTGAAGTGATGTGGGGTCCAGACGCAGTACCCCTAAGCGCACGCGGTATTGAGCCACCAGCACCTGCCTGTGCCACAGGAGTCAGAGCTACTGACAGCACTGTCCTCCATATGGGGGCAGGGGCATCAGTCCTGCACCCATTCTGTGGGCCTCAATTTCCCTGGCAGTCTCCATGGGCTCTGGGTGGGAGCTGACCTGGGGAAGCAGTGCCCTGCTGTCAGCACCCACTGGGGGGCTATGAGAGATCCCCCACACACGTGCACCCCACGGTGCTGGATGCTTGCCTGCCACGGCCACTCTCCATCCTGGGCGTCTCGGCCACCCACGATCCGGTTGGACATGCGGGGCTGGCCGCAGTCTGTGAGGGGACAGCATGAGCTGTTGGAGGACCAGGGCCCTGGGAGGCAGGTGTAGGTAGAGAGACCTGGCTAAGGTCCAGGAGGAGCTGGTCCTGAGGCTCCCTTACCTGCAGATATCCGTGTCCCAGCAGTGCCTGAAGAAGGAAGCAGGGAAGCAGCTGGTGTCAGGTAGTGCGCTGAAGGCGGTGGCCAGAGATTAGGAAGGAGGTGGCACATATTAGGCACAATGACCTCAGGCCAGGCTTCGGCGAAACCCTCATCTGAGCACTGTAGGGTGGGTGGGAGTTTTAGGCCCTACATAAGGACAGCACATTTGAATTTGGAGAGCCAAAGGATTGGAACATTTGGGATTGAGATTAAAGTGCTGAAGGGTACTGGAGGGGAACCAGGCTCAGAGAGGGGTAAGGTGGAGAAATGGGCCAAAGGCACTGTGACCAGCACCCATAACCCTCACCCCACTCACCTGGCACCAGTAGAAGCAGCACCCAGAGACAGGAAGAACCTCTCATTATGTCTTCAGGGCTGGGCTAGGTAAGGGTAGCAGCGCCCAGGACTTGCAGTCTCTGGAGCCAGCAGCAAGCAGAGAGGAGCGCTTAGCCCTGGGGAACATCCCACCCTGCCCACCACAGTGCTTTGTCTGCCCTCAGTTCCTGGCTTATCTCTCTGCCTGCCACCCACACTCTCCACCCTTTTCTCTGCACAGGCACCAGTGATGATGACCTTCTCTGACCAATGATGCAGTCCCCCTCCTGTGGGATGTGGGCATCCTTGGCCTCTTCCCCAGCCCCGTCTTCTTTTGTGGTGCCCCAGTAGTCTCTGGACCCTGCTCTCACCCTCAGAGCCCGGTGCCCTTTCTGCTGACTGGGCTAGGGCAGGGCCTGGGGGCTTAAAGGGTATTGGGGGTGGAGGCCTGACTAGGGGATAATGAACAGTGCCAAGGCGGGGCTGTGGTCCACCTGATCAACTTCAAACAAAGATGCTTTCAGCAGTACTTTAGAGGTGGCAGGAAAAGGACACCAGGTGCTGAGCACTGTGGGAGAGAGCGGATCTGTGGTCAGGCCAGGGAGCTCCAGAGGATCCTTGGCAGCTCATCCCTGAACCTGATCCTGCCTCCTTGCTTGGCAACTGGAGCTTCTGAACGCGGCTATTCTGTCTGATAATCCCAGCTCAGCCTGCCTAGCTGGCCCCACACAAGCCCTGGCCCCAGATCCTGGGCCTTGAACATCAGGCCTGGCTTGCTAACCCCACACAGAAACCTTGGTCTTGCCATCTGCTCTTGGGTCCTGGGTCTGTAAGAGTCCAACATGGAAATGACCGGTTCAAAGGCAGCGGCATGCTTTGCTTGCCCATACAGAAACAGGTGTGACCTGGGGAGACACTCTACTCTTGGGTTTGGAATGGCCAGGACAGCAAGTATGCTGGTGTAGGGTGAAACCAGGAGATGCAGAGAACAGCAACTGCCCTTCTCTCAGAGCCAGTGGAGGGTTGGGCAGTGGAGGGTGGTACTTGCCTGTAATTCTAGCAATTGGGAGGCTGGGGCATGAGGACTGCCATAAGTTTAGGCCAGCCTGGGCTACATAATGAGTTCAAGCCAGGCTGCACTACACAGTGAGACTCTGTCTCAAGAAACAAAACAAAACAAAAAATGAAAACCAAAACCTAAGACCAAAGATCAAACCAAAACAAAATAAGAGCCAGTAGAGATCTGGAGCCAGAATGGTGCCCAGGGGCCATGAACCCTCTTTTAGGTTCATACCTGGGAGGCTGTGTCCTCTCACTGCCTCACCAGCAACTCCTTGTTCCTCAGTCCTTGCTCCATCACCTCCCTTCCTGTGTCATACCTCTTTTGGGCTCCTGTCAAAGTTGTAATTTGACACATGTGGGGGGAGGTTTGATTCATGTCTGATTCACAGGGCAGGGCCTGTTCCGTGCTCCTGTATTAGTCAGTTCATGCTCCCTTGATAAAATACTGGAGGGTTGGTGGCTTAAAGAGAAATCTATTTCTCAAGGTTCTAGAGGCTGGAAGTTCAAGATCAAAGTGCTAGAAAGGTAGGTTTTATTCTGAGTCCACTCTTCTTAGCCTGTTAGCGTCCATCTCTGTGTTCTGACACAGTCTTTGTGTAGAGGAGAGGAGAAATTGAGATCCTATTAGACCAGACCCCCGTATTTATGACCTCATTTAACCCCAGCTTCCTCCACAAATGGAAATAACATCACACTGAGGATTAAGACTTGCTATGGTTTGAATATAGTTGCTCCCCAGCCCCAAACTCATGAAGGAATTTAATACACAAAAATCTTACAGAATTAAGAGAGTGGAAACTTAATCTCACTATGATGCTTAAAGGTGAGGCTTTTAGGAAGTGATTAGATTAGGTCATTAGGAGGGGCCTCCATGATTGAATCCTGGTGGTTTTATAGAGAGGGAGGAACACCACACAGAGACAGACACATGGGCTCCCTGCCTCTCATCATGTGACACCATGAGCCACCTCAGTATTCTACCAGCAAGAAGGCTGTTGCTGGGTAAGGGTAGCAGTGCCCAGGACTTGAAGTCCTGTGCCTTTGAACCTGCAAAGCTTTGAACTATATATACTTCTATACTTTATAAACTTATCCTACCTTAGGTGTTTTGTTATAGTGATGAAAAGCTGAGCAGTACACACAAACATTCAGTGTGTAACAGACAGCAGTGGATAGAACACAGCTAGCACTGAAGATCTGGGAGCAAGTGAATGAGGCTGGGCAGGGCGGCAGGTTGGAGATCACCCTGAGGGATGCAGAAGAGGGAACCCTCAGCATCTGGATGAGGGGTGGAGGAGGGAGCCTCCAAGCTTGACTACTGCTGTCCACAGTTTAGGACCACACTCAAAACCATAACTTCTGGGCCTGTGTATAGCTCAGTGGTAGAGCAATTCCCTAGCATGGATGAAGTCTTAGATTTGATCCTTAGCACACAAAGGAAACGAAGATTAGCTCTTTGAAGTCTGGCTTTGGTGCTCCCTCCCTCCAGTGGTGAGCCCTTGGGGGTAATTATTGAAATCCATATGCATCCCTCACCTGTAAAACCCACCTCAGAGGACTCACAGCAGTGCCTGGTATGGACCAAAGGCTATGAAAGTGCTCCCGGGATGAAGGAAGCAGGTTCCTACCTTCCCCAAGCCTCAGAGTCTTTTGTTACATGGCTTGGCTGCTCTTGGGTGGCTTGGGGGAGGTGGGACCAGCAGCTGGAAAGCCGCAGGGACTCGTGGCAATGAGGAGCAGGAGGCGCCCGGCACAGAAGCACCCCAGAGGACTTGGAGCAGACCTTGCTGGGGAGCAAACTGGAAGGCTGGCACTCTACTCTGTAGGGAGCTGGGAGGTGCAACCTGGGGTGAAGGCAGAAGACATAGACGAACAAGAGGGTTGGGGCAAGGAGATGGTTCTCACCAAGAAACTGGCTCTTTCCAGAGAAGGGGTGCAACTGGCTGAAATATGAATATCTGAACCTTGGAAAGAGCCCCAAAGAGAGTTCTCATATCGAGAACTGAGAATATAAGCTAAACCCCACCTTCTTTCAGCTTCACATTTTTTAAAAAAGAATGTTGCTATTAGTTCAGTCTGGCCTCCAACTCACTATGTAGGCCATAGATAGAACTCACAGTCTCTTGTGGCCTTGGCCTCATGAGTGCTGGGACAGCAAACGTGCATCATCACATCTTGCTCTTCTCCCTTTTCCCCTTCTCCTTTTCCCCTTCCCCTTTCCCTTCTTCTTCTTCCTTTAAACGCACCCTTCCCTAGCCAAGCTTCCTGGCGATGGGGCACACTAGAACGCTTCCCAGCACCTGCCCTGCAAGTCTGTCTGAGGCCACAGCTGCCCTTCCTTAAATCATCTTCAGGATTGAACTAACCACAGCAGGTCTAGCCATTTGCAACCAAAACCTGGACAAGGTTCAGGAAATAGGCGGGGCCCAGACTGGATGGGTCACAGGTGAACAGAGTCATCAAGGAAATGGAGCTCTGTGAAGAGAATTCAGATCTGCACACAACTTTATTAGCACACAGGACAGAAGGGAACCTGCACAGGGTCAAGGGGGCAGCAAGCACTGTGACCCCAGATGCATCTCCCTAAGTCAGGTGGGGCCCAGGAGCTGGGCAGCCCAAGGCAGAGTGAGGAGCAACAGCAGTGGGGAGAGGTCCGGCCTGGGTGAGCCATTGAGGGCTACTGTCTTCAAGATCCAGTTGACATGGTGGCTGACATTGGTGTAGACTCCAGGCCGATTGGCGCGACCACAACCCACTCCCCAGCTCACGATTCCAATCTGATACCACAGCCCATCCAGGTCACAGACCAAGGGTCCTCCTGAGTCACCCTGGGGAGGAACGTGGGTGAGCCCAGCCTGGGGCAAGGAATGGTGGCCCAGCAAAGAGGTCAGTAAAGCAGGGAATTTTGGAACCTCCTCAACAGTGACAGAGCCTCAGTTTTTACAACTATAGCGTATGGTCAGACTTCCTACCTTCAGAAATGACAAGACCATAAAGAGGCCCATTAGTGGAGACTGAGAAATATGTGGTATAGGCTGGGTGACTAAAGGCTGCAATTGATTCCTCCTGTGTGTGTGCGCGCGCGCGTGCTACTAGGGACTTAACCCAGGACATTTGCACTGAGCTATATCTCAGGCCCATTTTCTATTTTCTATTTTGAGATGAGACCATTAAAAATTACCAAGGCTGAGCTCAAACTTGTGGTCCTCCTGCCTCAACCTCCTATAGTGATAGGATTTCAAGCATGTGACACTACCCAGCTAGGAGTGTAACTGATTTCTATGACTGAACTCCAAATTCATTTGGGTGGTGGACCTCAGTCCTACTGTTGGGAAAAAGTAGGATTCTCTGATTGGGGAGGGGGGGACTCACTCTGCAGGAGTCTGTGCTGCCATCCTCTGCACCAGCACAAAACATTGACTCTTTGATTCTACTAAGTGCAGTGGGCTGTTTGAAGAGGTAGTTGCACCTGGTGTTGTTCAGGATGGTGACCTGTGCTTCCCGGAGGTAGTAGGGAGGTGGCAGAGGTGCTGTGGGGTAGGACAGAGACAGAAGGTGACCTTAATATCCCTTCTGCCATCTAGAGCAGGGACAGGACAGAGGGCACTCCTTATGGCAGTGATGCAAGTAGCCCCTAAGGATCACCTACATTCGGGCAATCAATAATATTGCAGGAGGATGCAATGGAAGGACAAGCTGTTGCAGCTCCACTGGAAACTTTGTCCCCCCAGTTGGGCAATGGAGATGACACCCCCTGCCTGCACAGATGGACAGATTTCTTTTTTTTTATCGGTACCAGGGATCGAACTCATGACTGCCTGCTTGCAAGGCAGGCGCTTGTGCCAATGAGCTAAATCCCCAGCCCCAATGAACAGATTTCTTAACGAAAGCCCAGATAAAGAAGAGCTAAGGAGGCATTAGCCTGTATATGTTTTGATTTTTGTTTTATTCTTTGAGGAAGACTCTTGCCTTGGTGGTGATCCCTTTGCCTCAGCCTCTTGGGCACTGGCATTACAGGCATGTGCCACCATGCCCAGCTCTGGAGACAGTTTTTGACTGCACAAGCCAGGACTCCCTTCAAAAAGATCAAATTAGTTGAAATATATGAAACTACAGATTTGAAAAGCTGAAAAGACTCCAAGCAAGGCAAACAAAAAGAGATGCCTTTGTAGACACATTACAAACAAACCAGCAAAACACAGAGAGGAATTTGTAAACAGCAGGAGAGAACCTAGTTGTCAGTATAAGAGAACTCAATAGGATTGGTTTCTTTCCAGAAATTAGGTGTTCAAATAAAAGCTTGTATGATAGTGTTCCTAAACTATTCACAACACTCAAAAGGTTAAAATAACTGAAGTGTCTGTTCATGAACACATGGATTGATAAAAGAAAAAAAACTGTTATAAACAAAGTATGCTATTCAGGGGATTACTATTCAGCCATAAAAAGAAATAAAGTTCTGATATACACTTTAATACTAATGAACCTTGAAGACACTCAGATTTCAGAAAGAAGATCCAGAGAGCCACATACTACATAAAGCTGTTTATATGAAATGCTCAAAAAACTGAATCCAGAGACTGAAAGCTGGCCAGTGAGTCCCAAAAGCTCCAAGAAAGGGTCCATGAGGAGGTCCATTCCCACTTAGTGGGAATGACGGTCTTCTATAAGGTTCGTAGTATAGTGTTGTGAGCTCACTAGAGAAGGCCAAATTGCACCCGTAAGAAAGTGTGTTATTTATGTTATGCAAATGAGAATTTGACCAACAAACAAACAAAAGAAAGGAAGAAAAGGACAGTTGATATGACATGCTATAAAGTGGACTGCTCTTGAGGATACCATATTACATCAAAGAAGCCAGCTACAAAATGTTGTCAGCTCTATTACTGGATAGAGGGCAGAGAAGGCAAATCCCCAGAGACAGGCAGGATGCAGGTGACCGGGGTGAAAGGTCTGGGAAATTGGGCCACCAAGAGGATGACTGAGGAGAGGGGGGTTGTTTTTGAGAACATGAAAATGTTCTATTATTAGATGGGGTTATGGCTGCACAACTAGGTGAATATACTAAAAATCGCCGAGGGGTGTCCTTTAACACTGTTCTCTTCCAAAGTTCATGGGCTGTGAATTCAATCTCAGTGTAAGGAATGAATGCCTGAAGCTGCCCCACAAAGCTGCCCCACCCCAACCCCGCTGCCAGGGGACACAGGAAGGGCCAATCTGGAGGCCCCTGTGGCCTTCAGCCCCCAGGTCTGTCTGCAAGGGAAGGGACTGAGTATTTGGTTCCTGATCTCACAGGTGGGAGGCAGAGGAGAGGATGGATGGGAAGGATGCAGACTAGGCAGGCAGAGGGGCTCAGTGGTGCCCCAGACACCAGGGAGAGGCTGCTGTGCCTGGTGTGGCTGGGACAGAGGACCAGGAGAGTGCCCGCCCACACCCTTCCCCCCCTGCCCATGTGTCCCAGCCTCACTCAGGTCCTCGTGGAGAACGCCCCAGCCAGTCACCCAGCAGTCAGACCGGTGCAGGAATGTGGAGGAGGAGGCGGCCTGGACACAGACTGGATGGATGTACTTGGTGTAGGTGACAGGGGAGGCCAGCTTCAGCAGGGCAATGTCATTGGTTTGCCCTTTGGCTTTAGGGTGTATGAAGATGTCCTTCACCTTGTACCGGTTGAGGTAGGCGCGTAGGTTCCAGGCAGATGGGTAGAGAGTGAGCTCACCCAGCTGGACAATCCATTTAGAGGCATCAGGGAACCTGCCATAGAGAAGAGAGAACTCAGGGTCCTGGGAGTGGGGATGGCCACCTTGGCACAGGCCTTGCTCGGGTATCCTGGGGGCTACACCATGTGCTCATACTGCACACCACCACCCAGTCTCTCTTGTGGGCCAGAAGTCCTCTGTAGAAATATCAGACCACCAACAAGCCACGACCGAAGTCCTCACTCTTGGGCACTGTGGGGGGAGGGGTTGTTGGAGTGACTCCTCTGAGAAATGGTTCCAGTCCTCCAGGGGACCCCTGTGCAGTTCAAAGTGGACAGAATAGATTTCAGGACCGGTTTAGAGCTCTAGCAGGAGGCTCTGCTCACCAGACTCTCCCTCAGCTCCCACACCTGCCTCAACTCCGTCCATCCCCAGAACAGCACAGGGAGGGAAAAGGGGTTTGCCCTAGTGAGGCCATTGGATTGGAGGGGGAACAATGCACCAAAAGTCCACGGAATGTTCTGGAAGGGCATTCTGGAAGACTCCAAGCAGGGTTCCGTCCGGGTACCCTAGTGGAGAGTCCTTGGTGTGTGATCGCGCCGCTCAGTTCAAAGTCCCTGGCTGGACTCACTTGGTGAAGCAGTGCGCAGCCGAGAGCAGCCAGCGGCGGTTCAGCAGGCTCCCCGCACACAGCGCTCGGTGCTCCACCTCGTGCAGCGCCGCCTGCCACGGCCAGCGGCCCCGCGACGTCGCCACTCCACCCACGACGAGTATGTGGCCGGCGCGGAAGCCGCAGGGACCTAGGGGACAGAGACACGCAGCTGAGCGCGGAGGCGCCACAGCATCCTAGGGCCACGCGAGGGGGTGGGCTCAGGGGACTGCTCCAGCCCCAGGGTCGCCCCGCGCAGCGCAGCCCCTGTGCCTGTAAGTACTGGTAAGCAGCCTGGTGGTCCCGGGACCTGTGACAGAGACAAAATGGGTGTCACCTCGCTGCTCCCCTGGTGCCCCGAGGAGATCCTGAGAGTTGGGAACTCACCTTCCTCTGGGTCCGCATCCGTTTGTGCTGTGGGGAGGCCACAAAATTAGCGCCCCAGAACCTCTACGCCCCTGCTCCTCCCCACTGCTCGGTGGGGCTTGCAGCGCCCCTGAGCTCACCCAGCTTCTCAGGTCCCACCCAGGACACCACCAAGGCCGCGAGCAGCAGGAGCATGCAGCCTCTGCAGGCCATGGCGCTGTCTCCTGCGCCTCCTTGCTGCTCTGATGAAGTGGCGCCCCCTGAGGGAAAGGGGCGGGGCGGGGCCCTGGACACCACCTCCTCTCACCTTATTCTACTTGGAGAACAAGTGTTGGGCGTTCTGTTTCTACAAGGGTAGATCACCCACAGTAGCAGTTGGCGTGACCCGGTATCCAGTGAACCTCAGCACTGACCTTTGTGCAACCCAGGGATCCTAGCTGTCTCCTCTGTCGCACCCTTTCCTCATGCCCTGGCCCTCAGACATAATCCCCCAAGAAGCCCACTAACATGTCCCTACCTCATGGAAGGCCCCTTTGGAGCCAACAAATGTGTCAAAAGTGGTATGATCCTTTCCAGACAAACAGAAGGAAGGAAAACTATTTTGTCCATGGACAGGGCCTAGAACTATCTACTCTGCTTGCCATCCTGCAAGGGCCCCACACAAGTGTCCCTGGTCTCCAGCGGCTGTTCCATCCTGGGGCCAGTTTTAGAGGGTGGTGAATCAGTTGGCAGTTAATCCCAGCATGGACAATCAATTGGGTGTTCACATGGCCACCTTGTGGGCCAGGATGTTATTATCCAGTTTCACAGCAAGACTCCACCTTCTCAAGGTCAATGTCTTTACAGAAAAAGCACACATGTGAAGTCACCCAGGGCTTCCAGGTGTGCTCCCCAACACAGGAAAACAAAAGCACTTCATTTTCCAGCAAGGACCTATGACTGTTCGTGGGAGACATGCCCACCAGGGTAGGGGGTACACACTCAGGGTCAGGGGTTCATTGGGTTTGGCCAGGGAAGCATGAGGGCCCTAATGGCTGACAGAGTTACTTAGTCTCCAGTTCATCCACTCAAGCATCTGATGCCCTGTGGATCCATCTCCATTAGGAGTCACATTATGAGCAGAACCAGTATGGCAGAACTCTCCAGGAATACAAAGACAGTATTCTCAGGTAGGGTATTTCAAGAGCTCCTGTTACTTCCCTGGAGGTGGTCCAGGGCCAGTGCTTTCTTGGGCTGTGGTGGATTTGACCATCTTGAGTCTGCTGAATTCATCCCATACTGCATAATAGCCTGGCAGCAGAAGTGTCAAGGAGAACAAGAATCCCACAAGCACCAAAAAAGTCTTTTGGAATAAGCTGAACTGACCCCAGAGGAAACATCATCCATATAACAGAGGACAGAGGTGCAGCTTGCAAGAAGTATCCCTCAGAAAGATCCAAGGGGCGTTTGCAAGCATTGAATAAGAATTATATGGGGAAAAAAAGCAGAGAAAGTATTTAAAAATGTAAAATTTCACTACTAAAATAAAACGTTTTAGTCTGGGTATAGCAGCGCATGCCCAGAACCCAGGACTTGGAAAGCTGAGGGAGAAGGATTGCTAAAGTGCAAGGACACAAGCTCAATGTTACAGACTACATAAACATACCGTGACGCAGAAACTAAAAACTGAACTAAACAAAAAGGAAATAAAACACTTTAGCAGATGGGCTGACTAATAAAATGCACACAGATAAAGAATGAACTAGTAAACTTGAAGAGAAAGAAAAGGAAAAGGAATTCAGAGCAAAAGTATTAAAAGGGGTTGAGTGTGGTAGTACATGTCTGTGATCCCAGAACTCAGGAGGCTGAGGAAGGAGAATCCTTGTGAGTTCAAAGCTAGCCTGAGCTACGCGGCAAGAGCCTGCCTTAAGAAACAAAACAAGGGGCCAGGAGTTTAGCTCAGCAGTGTTAAGTGCCTGCTTGGCAAATGCGAGGTCTTGAGTTCAATTCCTGGTACAAAAAAAAAAAAAAGAAAAGAAAAGAAGCAAAACAAAACAAAAAAATTTTTTTAAAGAGTTAATTACATGAGAGGAAGTAATATGTTTGGCATTTTCACTGTTCAAGTTAGGAAATATGGTAGGATGCTTTTGACTGCTCTTTATCAGTATATATTTATTTATATTTATCTTATTTATATTTGATACTGGGACTCAAACTCAGGACCTTGTGCTTGCCAATCAGCTGCTTATGCTGCTGAGCTATATCCATGGCCTTATTTTATTTTTTGAGACAGGATCTTGGTGTGTAGTATAAGCAGAACTTGAACTTGCTTAGATAGCCCAGACTGGCCTTGAAATCACAGTGATATACTCCTGCTTCAGCCTCCCAAGTGCTGGGATTATAGGTGTGTGCCATCCAGCTGTGAGTATATATTTAAGTTTTTCCACAAAAAGGTTTTCAAAACAAAGCAAAATACACAGTTGGGAAAAGAAAGGGCAAGCCAGATGGCAGATTCCTATGAGCAACACGTAAGAAGGGTGGGGAGGGGTGGTATTAAACCCATGTTGAGGAAATGTCTCAGATGTGTAGTCTGAATGTACAGAAGCATTTCCGACACTGTACATATTCCCAACATCAGCTGAAACCATGGAGGTGATGAGCACCGACAGATGGAGGCTGCATTTTCTGTGACAGACTTGCCCAGTGCCACAGATACATCCCCAATCTGTAGTGCACTCCCCAGGTGATCTGCTGCTTGTGAGCCCTGAAAGGGTTGTGCATGTGTGTGAGTGCTAAGGACCAGTGTGTGGATGGGGGTGACTGACGATGATAAGGACTCTTGTTTGTTTGCTTGTTTTTGTCTTTTTCATTTTTTATCGGTACCAGGGATCGAACTCACGACTGCCTGCATGCAAGGCAGGTGCTTATGCCGCTGAGCTAAATCCCCAGCCCCTGATAAGGACTCTTGTGACGTCTTCCAGTGAGATTTGCTGGGACAGAGCCTCGTTCTGATCATTTAGCAGTTCTCCAACACAATTTCTGAGACCAAATTAGAAAACAGTCTCAAGCAGGCTGTATGTGCCGTTAGATCCAGAAGACATCTGTGCTACATGAAACTCAACTTATCTAACAACCCAAAGTCTATATGGTTAATGGAAATGCTTTCCTATCTTCCAAGATTCCAGCAAGTATACCAGAACACACAGAATCTGCCAAAACAACAACAACAAAACACTTCAACAGTTCACCATACTAGTAAATATCTGGAAACTAATGGTCACCACTTTGAGCACACTTTTTTCTTTTTCTTTCTTTCTTTTTTTCTTTTTCTTTTTTTTTTGCCAGAGTCTCACTTTGTAGTTCAAGATGGCCTTGAACTCACTTTGGAGCCCAGGCTGGTGATATTCCTGCCTCACCCTCCCAAGTGATGAGATTACAGGTGTACTGGTTTGAGCATCTCTTGTAACTATAGAAGTCAAAGGCAACTCACATTAATATCATGATGTCTCAATAACTTTTTTTTTTTTTTTTTTTACTGGAGATCAAACTCATGACCTAGCACTTGGCAGGCTTATGCTGCTGAGCTAAATCCCCGGCCTTATGTCTCAATAACTGTTTTTGCTTTTTTATTTTTATTTTTTGAGACATGGTCTTGCTGTGTAGTTTAGGCTGGTCTTAAACTCACTATGTAACACAGGATAATCTCAAACTCATGGTGATCCTCCTGCCTCAGCCTCCAGAGTGCTAGGGTTACAGGCATGTGCCACTGTGCCAAATTTTAATAAATTTAATATTAAAATAGTTGCACAAATTTTTCTTTTTCTAATGTATACATTTTTGCTGGATGGATATTCTGGCAAATGCCAGTGTAGTGGGCAAAGAGATTTATAAATTACAATATATTTCTAGATATTTTCTATTTTAATATAAAAATACTTTGGTAAAAAATGGGACACAGGAATAAAGTGGATATGGAAACTATAGCATCAAGTAAAACAGAATCCAAGGCTAGCAGTCTTGGGTCTGAAATATGAGGCTATGTGCCATTGAAAAACCATGCCTTTGACTAGAAATGTAGCTGTGCTGGTTTGACAACTGATGGGCAGCTTGTCATACCCAGCTGAACTGAATCAGCGTGGGGCTGGGTGTGGAGGGCCCACCTGAGGATTGCTGCCAACAACATAAAAGGGGGCCTGGAGAGGAAGAATTGGTGGTGTTGGTTCTCCTGTTGCTGTTGGCTCTCTTGGAGGAGCTTGTCGAGCTTCTTTCCAAATATGAATTTGGCTGTTCTCATCATCAGAGGAGCTCAGGACCTTGTTGTCGCTGAGAATGGCTGCAGTTCACTTTCGGGGATCTCTGGTCCTTACTTTGAGCTTCACTTCCTGGCTCCAGAGGGGAAGATGGTGTGCTGCTCAGTCTCCTGGAGAAGCTTGTCACACTGGCTTCTTGATACGAACTTGGCTGTTCTCATCGTTGGAGGAGGTCAGAACCTCATCGCTGTGACACTTTTGTGGGGAGTTCTAGCCCTTACTTTGAACATCACTTCCTGGCTCCAGTGCAGATCCCTCAGCCTACTGACATAGATCCTCCATCCTGCAAGCACAGACTTTCTAGTTTCCACCACTGATCTTTGGCCTTTCTAGCACAGATTTGTGAATGACGTGCCTGAGACATTGTCATGGACTCTAGGCCTTCAGCTGGACTCATGCACATTGTCATGGGAACCAAGCCCTCAGCGATTCTTTAGGTCTTTAGTAGATGAACGGATTTCCTGCACTTTTTGTGTTTCACTCTTTGGGTGATTATTATAGAATAATTCTATAAATTATATGTCCTGTATCACATTGTTTTCCTTCCTAACCCAAGACTACAACAGTTGTTTAGTGGTACAAAAGCATTTGCTTGGCATTTTAAAGGCCCTGAGTATGAGCCCCAGCACCAAAGGAAAAAAAGTTATGCTGGAGGGAAAGACTGTAAGAGTCACATACTCCACCCCCACCTCCTGCCCCAGTACCAAACCTGACCAGGGCTCCCTTAACCTGAACAACCTCTTGGGTCCCTGATCCCAAGTGCCAGGCCCATGGCTGCCCTCTGGTGGGGCTAGGGATGGACATTAAGGTGCCTGCTCTGAGCAGTAGAAGCTGGGACCTTTATTTGCCCTGCTGAGATCCAGTCTCCTGGGACTGCTTTACCCTTTGAAATGAGTTTATCTGTCACATCCCAGATGTCCTCAC